GTGATTGTCTTGGGATTGTCAAAAAGTAATCACATCTGGAAATCAAAGCATATCTTAATTAGGCGGTATGTTGGCGGATTTATGAGATGTTGTAAATTAGCTTCAGCTTCGAAGGCCCGGGAAAACTGGCGATTGTCGATTGTGTTATCAACAAATATGCTAATAATTTAGCCAAAATTTTTAAGCAACAAGCCTATAAACACCATGGTGATCACGAGACAATACCAGGAGTAGCAATGACCAGGCTTTAAGCTGTCCTTCGCTAATTCGCAAAATGCAAATTAAAGTTGAATTTGGCCCTTCAGTCTGAACTCAAATTCTACCCACTAGCGACTGCTACAAGCTAATTCGTATGACGCTTGAATTCTACACGCGATCGCTACTTGCTACACGAGATCGCTACTTGCTACACGCGATCGCTACTTGCTACACGCGATCGCTACTTGCTAACCCGAAGCATGACACAGCAGGTTCATTGTTTACTCAGTACCTAAACTTTTCCGGAAAAGACCGAAGATCAAAAAAAGACTAAGTGGCCGACGCTTGAAGATGCTTCACACACGACTACATATCGATATCCTGGAAGTGTGCGCACTGTATGAAAACACTTATTCCAGTGCGATTGAATTTCACCCAAGAGAAGCATTAATTTTGCCATGTCCTTTCCTGACCTACCTAAGTTAAGCATAACTTGGCTAAACATTTTCAGACCAAATTAGCCAATTGCTAACAATTGTTTTTGCCCAGCTTAAACCCTGAAATACGTGTGCTGAATTTTCTAAAACGTGTGATGAACAGAGTATGTATGTGGCCTAGCACGAGTGCGACAATGCACAGTACATGACCCTTTGTTACACATGCTTCACCAGTTGTGATTCGAATTGTAAACAATTGCTGGCAAATGCATATGATTTTCAATTGAGCATATCATTAATAACCAGCATTGAACTGGGACAACCAAATGTGAATTTGGTGGCAAGGTTATATACATATAAAAGACATAATATTACCGCTGTCTCAGTAGCTCGAGCCAGTTTATACAGCTAACAATAAACACCTAAGTAGGGGGCCCAACGTCCAGAAAACCCATCAATTGCACTAGATTATTTGCACGGAACAAGCAAAACTGCCGGAATGATCACCTGACCTTCAACACATGGCCGCTACTGATCTGTAATGCCCGGAAGCTTAGGTAGACAAGCGACTTGTCTTTCTGCTGATCCAAGCCGAGCATGTAAGAGCAGTTGGCGTTTAGCGGGTACAGGTTCGGATGGCCGGGACTACGAACCTGTCCGCTGGTCGAGTTGTGGTAGCCGTCGCACGCTGCAAACGGTCAGACATCAGAAAACTGCGCGAGGGAAACCGACACGCACGCGTACGCACAGATGAACGGACACATTACATTGCATGCGTTGTTCCCATTACAAGCAAGCGCCAGTGTTGCAATAATCGTGAAAGAAGCGCTAACACTCCCTCAACGTTTGGATCTGCGCTGCTTCACAGACTCCCGTAATTATTCATCAATACTTTAGACAAAGGGATCGGACAGACGACTTCGAAACGAGACACACAAAATCATTTTAGGAGTGAACTTTACACAAATGAATTAAGTGACTAGAATGCATTCACCTTTCCTAACGTGATACGATGCCTCAAAGATAGCCAGCCGGCTAGGATTTCCTGACGAGGCAACATACTGAATTCTTGCGCCTGCAAAGCAAGTTACTCAATGAATGCATGTGTATATAAACAGCAACAACCACCAGAGCTTCATAGGTCTAGGACTTTATAATGTTGTTTAATATAAAATAAATATAAAATATAATATTTTAAAAAAATAAAAAAATAAAAAATTTGTTCACCAAATACTGATGACACATATATATTTGTAAATTAAAGAATCTCATCAATTTCATCAATTCGCAACTTCCATCCACTGAATACTCAGGGGCATGGAGCCAAAGCAGTTTAAATCTCTCTCAGCCACATGCTTGCCTTTAGCTGCATCCATGTAGACAGTGAACCCAGTGGATAGTTGGCTGGCATTAAGAGCCATTACAAGAGTAGACGGTGCAGCGTTGTTGTAGATGGAGGCGGATGCTGATCGCACGTGTGTCAAATCCACAGACAGCAAGTCATCTGTAACATCACACATCACCTTGTGAAACCACAGCGATGGCTCAATGGTAGAGTGCCCGCCTCGCATGTGGAAGGTCGTGGGGGTTAGACTCCCGGCCGGGTCATACCAAACACTTGAAAAATTGTACACACTGCTTCTCTGCTTAGCACCCAGCAAAAATAGATGAGAGTGGAAACGGAGTCAAGAAGAGACCCTGCACGTGGCGCCACCTGCCAGCGAATCTCTTCATACCCGTCCAGTGGGCACACGACAAACCACAAACCCAAATCATGAGATTCAATATCACTGCTACGTGTACACTTGCTAAGGCTGATAGGGTCTATGTCCCCCAGGGTACTATCGGAGAGTACCCTGGATACGGTTCGATATATCGGAAAGTACCTCGGGTTACTATACGATATGTCGCTGCGTACCCTGCATTGTCCCACCGTACCCTGACTTTATATGGACGTATTTCCGATGTTGTAAAACTAAAATATAAAAGCTAGCTCTTCGTTTAAAAAAAAGGAAAAAGAAAAATATAGTCAAACGTAGCATACATTTTTATTGGATTGAGATGTTTTGAGGTTTCTTCTATGTGATGTGGTAACTTGACAGAGTGTATGTATTACGACATCAGTTGGCTGGAACGTCAGGGTACGGTGGGACAATGCAGGGTACGCAGCGACATATCGCATAGTACCCCCCGAGGTACTTTCCGATATATCGAACCGTACCCAGGCTACCCTCCGATAGTACCCTGGGGGACATAGACCCTATGAGCCTTGCTAAGAACAAATGCTGGGCAAAACAAAGGGCTTGGTAACTGCGGAGGAGGAATCTTCTTTCGGCTGACCTTTCTTGATGTTTGCTGGGGAATGAATCAACCAGCTGCAGTTTTCAGGTTCATGTCCAGGAAGCAGAGAATAGCTGTCCGACTTTTCCCAGGAATGTTGGTAGCATCCTGCAAAACCACTCACTCATTCACAAAACCATTAGAACAGTGGTTCTCAACCTTTCAGGACCCCTTTGGGAATCTGGTGAAAGCTACAGACCCCTCCCCAGAAAATTTCACATAAGCACATAAACACAAAATTTTGCATGCGCCTGGTTCACAGACGCCCTGAAGCCCATCCACGGACCCCAGGTTAAAAACCCCTGCATTGGAACATACAAATTACAATAACCATAAATAGCGTATATATAAGAAACCGTAAGGAAGGTACACGTTGTGCAGTGTGGAAGCTGTATACTACTCTATGCACATCTACCCTACATTACAACAGTGAGAGGAAGCCAAAAAACCAAGCCAATATTATTAAACTTGCGATTTTATGTTGTCGTGGTTAAGTTAGTCTCAATCACTGCACAGAAGAGTGCACACCTTTTTTTTCCGTCTTAAAGATGGCATTAAAGAAAGCTTTCGCTCCTGAAAACCCCTCAGCAACCACCAGCATGACATTTCCATCGCTGAACACAGGCTGTATCGTACTGCTCTTCAACAGCTTGCTAATCAACTGATTTCCATCGACTCTGGAACACGAAATTCATAGTCAACTTAACTTGGGCGTGATCAGACTTTATGTGTAGTCATTCATTCAGTTAGTTTAATGCAATGTTTTATGTACATAAACAACTTAACACCAATGAAAAGAGCAATGGGAATACATGTTAGACTGGTTTCCTGTCCTGAACTTTCAGTCGTGAGAGCATGTGCACTGGTGCTAAGTTATAGACAGTGAACCAGTCTTAAAGATGCGTACCTGTCACCATTGTAAAACTTCAAGTTGCTGTTTGAAGGAACGAAGATCGCATTAGACACATTCAAATACACTTGCGAATCGCCAGCAACAACGAGCTTGTAATATTCTTTCAGGTTCCTAGCTCCACCTGCCGGAACTTTGGACTGATTCAACATGATGGAGCCACTCTGCTCAAACGTTCCACCAAAATCTGGAAATGTAACAACACTACATTTAATATTACTCGGTACATGTTCGCTGCTACCGTGGAAGTATTCTATGCAGCATAAATGCTATTCTGTAGTACAGTAAAACTCGCATAAACCGGCACTTTTGGCATTTTGTTGACTTATGTCGTGTATGTGCAAGTCACCAAAATGAAGACTTATGCATATATATCGTCATTTTGACAACTTGCAAAGCCGGCATTTCGACGACTTGGAGAGTGTCAAACTGATATTTCGCCAGGCTTCATATCTACATGAACTAGTACATGCACTAAGGTATCATCTCAAAATTACTCGATCCTGATGCCATAAAACACTAAAATGTTCAGTAAGTAATCAAAGGAAGATTACCCCACCGGGCCACCCCTATATACTGCTCTACCTGCTAATACTGGATTGAGCGAGACTAGCCTGCATAAGTGTTTCTGCGAAACAATGAGTCATCATTTTACCAGGAATTCGCTGTACATTGGGCTGCGTACACTGCACCATCAGCATTTCTGATGACGAGATACATATATAATTTTACTGTGTTTGTATTACATGGGACCTGTCTGAAGGTCGACGACTAGTACATAATGACGGCTTGTAAATGATGACTTAGGCGGGGCTATTCAAATAGATTTACCATTAGAGAAAATCGGGACTTTGACTTTCGTGACGACTTCAGCGAATTGACGAGTTAGACAATGGCGTCTTATGCGAGTTTTACTGTACCGTTGAAGCATACTATGCAACATTGATGCTACCACTACCAGTCAAAAAAATACACGGGGGTTCTGGGCGATTTAGCCCCCCGAAATGCCAAAAAGAGCCCCCGTAAATTTGCATAGAGTTCAATGCAAACCAAATTTTAGAGTGCTATTTTCATGCACGTGAGCTTGAAAAGTAGCACCCGAAAAATAAATTATGTTTTCTCCCCTGACCACTACCATCTGTAGTAGCACGTTCCGTCTACACACTGACACACATTAGCGAGCGAGCGCAGCAGCAACTGCCATTTTTCCTACCATAGCTTTTATCTGTCGAGCTAGACCGCGAGTACTTGGGGGGATCGTACATATAAAGATCCGTGGATCAAATACAATACCGTTATATTTTCCAGAACATAATTACTAGGACCATAGCCAATTTTCCCAAGACCTTCCAGGTTTTCCTCTACAAACCCCGATCTATAAATCGGCTCACATTGGACGGAGATATTGAAGCTGAAACTCTTGGGCGACAGACTTGCTTCGCTTGTAAACTCAAACCACAGAGAATCATTACTGGACATGATGACGTAATCTGCAACAGGTAAGACAGCAACGATGACTCCAATCAGGAATGCACACACACATTAAGCTCTGGGGTCCAAGCCTGCTCGAAAACACCCATGTATTACAGCTGAGAGGGTCTATGTCCCCCAGGGTACTGCCGGAACGTAACCTGGGTACGGTCCGGTATACAGGAACGTACCCTGGTACTATCTAATATGCCGGACCGTACCTCGCCTACTCCACTAACGAGTCCAGGGAGTCGCCTACGCCTACTCCCTAACCCTAACCCTATAACCATATCAGATAGTTACCAGGGTACGTTCCGGCAGTACCCTGGGGGAAAATAGACCCTATAAGCTGTATTGCATGTTGATAGTGTGGTTTGTTACCATGGTTACACAGTGTGCTACCACACAGACCCAGTAACCCAACCTCACAGACTTTATACAGAAGTGGTACCACCCGATACAGAGCTGCCAACATTGAGCTTTGTGTAATAAGAATTTTAATCTTTACATAATAAGGGATTTCCATCATCAAGAAGGAATCTTGGGTAACGAGTCATTTAAGCACAATACTACATACGTACCTTAATAGCAGTTCTACATCGATTAACAAATAAAATACAATCATGTGCATACTCATTGTAGAGCAGTAACAATTAACAAACATAAACATACATTCTTAGTCTATGATACCGGCTGCGAACAACAAAAATACACAATCCTTAGTCGAGTCTCCACCCCTGCACTAATAAGAGCACGCGTTACGTCCAAAATCGTAGTAAAATGTGAGTGAATCTTAATGGCGGAATTACACGCTAAAATTGTACAAATTCTGTCAAAATCGGAAGGGTTGGCAGCTTTGCTGGTAGTATAGTGTAGTAGCGCTATGAGAATGGCAAGAGCAGTTATTTGTTATCTATACTACTACAAGAACCAACTTTGTCTCTCTGCCTCTAAGCACATATTTTTTTTACATTTTCTTTATATTTAGTAGTATTTAGTACCCCATATCTATCGAAATAATCTGTCAGTGTGCTATCAAAACAAGAACATACCATGGAAATTAAACTATTTTCTAGTTAACATTATACAATTACAGTTTTCATATCAGTAGCCTTCTACAATATGCTAATTATGTTCTCATTTTTAAAATCATTGCTCTACTATTCTACAATATTCAAGTAGCATTTCTTATTCTCTACCTTCTATTGAAACATTTCACCTAGCAAATTTTGGTCGCAGCAGCAACCTATAGGCAGCGCCAGGTACCTTACTAGTTAATTTTACGATTTATTTTACTTGAGACACGTTAGACTCCCCTGGGGTTACAAACCAAAGGGGATGAGAACACTTCTCACTAACCTGTGCTAAACCCCTTGTCAATTTGAACGATCGTTGGAGACATTTTCGAGCGTCCGTCTTTCACAACAACGATGTCATAGTCGTCTACCAAACCTAGCACATCAATCCTGTCACAGTAAACACATGAACAAGTGAGAACACTATTCTGGCCACTTTGAGAGGAATTAAAGAAGATAGAATTGCTTCTGTGATACCAAAAGCTGAAACTTTGTAACAAATTCTGTGTTGCATTGGGGTTACTCGTTTTTTTGTGGGGGTCGATTCGAAAGCCTAGTGCTACTTTGACCCTCACAACACTCATTTCATTGTTAGTAAGTTCACAATTCTTTTTTATTTATACTCTCACGTTATACCTATCATACACCTGCTGTATTGTAACTAAGTTATGTGCTAAATAAAGAATCAAGTTAATCGAGCAATAAACTTAATCAGAATGCGTATCAGGGGTCGAAATTCGCTATGTATAGTGATTGCGCAACACAAGTGGTTTTCACCGAACGCAAGCGATGTTTCGTAGCAACTTGCGGCTGCCGCAAGTCAACAATATGCCAGCTACTTACGTATTTAGAAGTCAGACTCATTTTATTTTGATTTCTGTACGAAATTGAAGCGTAAATGACTCAGAATCAGAGCAGCAATACACAGAAGACATAGAATAAATCATAAACTAAGACAGGGAGGAAGGGAAGAGAGTACTGCCAGTTTGGAAAGCAACAGAGGTACGTACGTAGCACTGCAAGTAAAAATCTCTTGGCGCAAGTAATTGTTTAACCTAACTTGCGGCATGCGCAAGTGTTTTTTTTAGCGAATTTCGACCCCTGCATATGTTACCTTGCCACCAATGTTGTATTTGGCTCGATGGTTTGAATCAGTAAACGACAGCTGGCAGCATGATTGAAGACACCAGGGAAACCAGGCGATGCAAACTGATACTGTTCACCTGCCTTTAACGTGACATTGCCAGAACAATCTACAAATAATTAATTATAATTGATATTAAGTATAATTGATAGAATTTCATGTTCGTTTGCTAACCAAGACCTACAAACAAGACTTTATCACAAACGATCGTCTGTTCGTAGCACTCGCAAACTCATTTTATGACTCTTTATCTGAACTTTCGCTTACTCATATTTAGTTATAGATACGTACGCAGTATGTAGTGTATCATGTTAAGACACTATAAAAACTATATCTAGCTATATAAACTATAAAATCCCAAACTGATGCGTAGTTTACCACACACCTGGAGTCAGGCTAATGAAGCTGCCTGCTAGTCCTTTCTGATATATGCTAGCATTCAAGGTGACAGTGACAATCGCTGTATCATTCACAAGCCCACCTCCAATTACCACGTCGTCGGTCGATTCTGCAAGATTAGACGTCTGATCAAGATAATTATCACTAACAAGTGCCGCAGAGCGACAGCCGCTCACTGACGGTGCTATGTAGCCGGGTATTCTTCTGATGAAACCTCATGCAACGCGTAATCAAGTGCGGCCTCGCTTGCACCCCGCGTTTGATAGGCTTTGGCTATACTCGGTAGTACAGTAATAAAGACTATAGTGTGTAACTTTAATCGCTTTGCTATATTAACGTTATCATGGATAAGCGTCGAGCGTAATGGTGTGGTGGGGGGAGGGTGAGGGGTGGGGCGGGTGGAGGGGAGTCTAAATAGGCACAAGCAGTTCAGTTCTTTGTTAACCAGTCAAGCAAATCCATGTTTACCCTAGCTCTTTGACGGTCCAAAAGGTTTTTATCAGGACACTTACTCTTCGCACATCAGCGGAAAGTAGATTTGATGGTCCTTTCAATAAAGTGATAAAAACGGTAGGTCATCGCTGAAACAAATTTTTTTTGCACTTGGTCCGTTAGACCATGTCCTCAGAAAATGTCTGATATCTTACCTTTCCCCCACTGCCCTTTGACCTCCAATTTCGCACTGGTGATAGGTTTCCTCCCCATCACACTATACACCGAATATTAAGAGCGTAGGTCGAGCTGTTGAGATTTGTGCTGCAATTCCGTATTACCTCCTATACCTTAAGTTAAGGGGGAAATATTCCCCCTCCATTGACACATCTCGACCTTTGACCCTTGACCCCCCAAGTTCAAGTTTAAGGTTAAGATTTGTCCTAACTGTTGACAGACACACGGACGCAGGCACAGACAATCATGCGATTCTACAAGCTGCATCTGACTTCGTCAGCTGAGCTAAAAATCCAATTTGTGATATGTCTGCAATGGTTAGAATATGAGATAACGACCTCTGTACTAGATTTGTACTGCATTACCAATTCGCTTACACCAACTGCTAAACAAATATAATGTCCCCCAATAATTCTGTAAAGAAGGCTATTGTTACAACATACCAACAAACTTAAAAACTAGTCATAACTCGACACAACCTGTCAATTAGGTTATGGTTGCACAGCCAGGTGCCGTACGGGACAACAACTAAGGTCACTTCTGTTGAATCGCTGCACGCACGCGACCATGTTAGAATATGTGCAGATCTAACCGGTGGCAGATGACCTGCTTACAATAGCAGACCAGCAATGAAGAACGGCCAAGGATATAGCAAGAACACATAAGGCTGTAGTTAGTGACCAGCTGACAATAGCAGACCAGCAATGAAGAACGGCCAAGGATATAGCAAGAACACATAAGGCTGTAGTTA